ATATATATATATATATATATATATATATATATATATATATTATATATTTATTATAATACTTAATTATTATTTTTTTTTATTTTTATAATTATAATTCTTGTATTTTCTTTGTATCCCTTAAAATCTAAAAAATTATATATTTTCTTCTATTTAAAGCTTCTGCTGCTGCTATACTACATTTATGTAAATCCTATAAAAATATATATTTTTTAAAAACTAAAAAAAAATTTAAAACTAATTACAATTATTTAATGATAGAAATGTAGTTTTAATTACTAGGCTAAATCTTCTTTTAAATAAATAATTTTTTGATTGATTATAAATTCATTTTCTTTTTAAAATACAAGTTATTCTTTTTAAATATAAAAAATTATTAAAAGAATATTTAATTACAATATTCTTAATAATATTTATTCAAATTTTCGCTTTAAATGATTTCTTATTCTATTAATTGTATTTAATTTAACATTATCTTAATTATAACATCTATTTTTTAAATAACATCCAATATATAATCTTCATATCCATTTAATTCTTTATCTATTAATTTTTTTTCAGAAACTATTTCAATTTTACTTCTTTATATAATAAAATTATTTTTATAAACTAAAGAAGAAATATATATATTTAAATTACTTAGACATATTTTATTAAAGAAAATTCTAAAAATTCTCAAAAGCAGTAATATATTTTTATTCAAAAGTTTTTTAAGACTCAGCTTCTCCTTTAACTAGTGAAAATTTCTTGAATAAATATTAAAATAAATAAATAATAATTAAAATTACTTTGTTTTTCGAAAACATAAATAGCTAAAGTTCTTCAGTTTATTACAAAAAAGAATGATTAATTAATTTTTATAAAAAATACTCTAAATTTTTCTTTCTATCATTAGAAAAATTCATAGTTTCTTTATTAAATTTAGTTAATATATTTTTTTCAGGTAACAAAGGAACTAAAAATCCTCCATATTTATTAACTAATTAATTATAAAGCCATTCAAAGTCACTAAATCTAAATAATAAAGAATAAATATATAATAAATATATATTTTTATATAAATATATATATAAATATATATTTATATATTTATATATTTATATATTTATATATTTATATATTTAATTTTTATATATTTATGTTTTGTTTACCTTCTTAATACTTCAGTATCATATTATAAATTTCCTTATTTTTAGTTTTTACTTTATATAATTTATAAGTTGTTATATATCTATTAATATTATATTTATACTATATAAATATTTATATATATACCCTTCAGTTATTATTTCTGGATCAGATACTAAAACTAATCTATTTTAAATAAAAAATTAATCTATTTTTAATTAATTTAATCGTCTTCTTCTTCTTCAATATCTTTTGCTTCTTATACATTATTTTTCTGTTCTTCGATTTCTTCTTCTATTTTTTAGTTGCTTTCGTATGCATTTTCATTTACTTAATCCACAACTAAGAAATTATGATGTTAAATAGAGAATAAATCTAGAAAATTTTATTCATTCTTATTTTCATATTTTTCATTATTTTCTTAATATTTTTAAAAAACATCAGAAAAATCATCATTTAATAAATCAACATCTAATAAAATAGGAAATTTTTTTATTCTACATAGTTTTCTTATTCAATTTCATTTATATTAATATTATCTTCTAGTTTTTCTTAAAATATTTCCTATTATATTTAAAAAATATTATTTATTTGCATTTTTAAAAAATAATAATTTATTTATTATTTATATAAATATTTATAATTATTGTAAAAAAAAAAGAAAATTATAATATAAAAAAAATAAATATAATATATATACTTATATATATATATATATAAATATATATAATTTAATTTAAAATAAATATGGTATTATTTTATATTATTTTCTTTTTCTATGTTTGTTTGAATAAATAATAAAATTATAGAAAAATAATAAATAGTTTAATTTTTTTTAAATTTAATTAATTATTAGAATATAAAAAAAAATTAAAATATTATAATTATTTTAAATAAGTAATTTAAAATATAATATAATTTCATTTATTTATATTTATTAAAAATTTATTTAGTTTATAAATTAATTATTTTTCTTTTTTTCTAATAGTGTACTTTTAAAATAATTAAAAAAATATATAAATTTTTAACTAAAAAATACATATATTATTAATTTATTATTTTATGAATTACTTTTATTAAAATCAACAGAATTACTAATATACAATGATATATCTTTAATTAATTTTAATATATTTAAATAAAAATTATTTTGAATAATTTTAATATATATAATTAATTTTATTTTATTTTGACTACAGTGTTTGGAAATTGAAATGTCTATAATCAGTTTTTTTCTAAACATTATATTATATAAATTTACTTTTTTTAGAAAAAGTAAAAAATCTTATAAACTTGCCTTAAAAACAGTGAAATATAAATAATTATAAAGGAGTATTAGAAAATATAAAAATTTAAAAGAAAATCTATAATTTTAAAACAAAAAACATAAATCTTAGTTAAAAAATAAAAAGAATATATGTATATAACTTTTAGAAAAGAAATAAAATAGAATACAATTAATATTCTTATATATGTAAAAAGTATAGTGATTTTAATTTTAGTAGTACATAATAATATATAAATCTATAATAAAGAAAATAAAATATAAAAATAAGGAAAAAATATATTAATATAGTTATTCAGATTAAAATAAAATTAATTTTTTATATAATAAAGTGAATTAAAAAATATATATTCTTTTAGTTAATTTAATTAAAAATATTTAATATAAATGTAAAATAAAAAGAAAACAATAAATTAAAAACTCATTAAATAATTATATTAAATAAAAATATATTATTTTAAATAATAACAAATTAATTATTAATAAATTACATTAAAAAAAGAAATATAATTTATAACTTTTATATATATATATATAAAAATATTATAAATTTAAATAAATTAAAATAAAATAAATAATATATTAATTAAAAATTATTTAAGTAGAATTTCAAAAAATAAAAATATAAAAATTTTTATAAAAATAAAATTATATTTAAAAAATATTAAAAATAAGTTTTATATATTAATAAAATATAATTTTTAGTTTAAAAAAAATGAAAAAATTTTCAACAACGTAATATTAAACAGAAATATATATATTATTAAATTAATATATAAACAAATATATATATATATAAATATAATTATATATATATTTATATATATATATTTGTATATAAATTTAGCGTTAAATAATAACCTAATGGTTTTTAAGATTTTTAAAAAACTTAAATTAACAACAGCCATAATTTAAAATATAAATATTATTTTTTTGATTTTTTGTATCAAATTCCTTAAATATAATTAAAGCTAGACTATTATATTGAATTATCCGAAAAAATTGATAAATTAAATCAAATATAAACTCATAAGAACTCTTAAAATGACCTTTAAATAATGTAAGATTTCTTATAAAGTGAACAAAAGGAACTTTTTTAACAGTTTGAGTCTCGTTTTTTATGTGAAAAGCCTAGAAGTAATATTTTTAAGGAAATATTAGCCAATTTAGAAATATAAGTAGATATTCTAGATGAAAACCATTTTTTTTTAATACTAAAAGAAGAAACTGAAAAAATTTTTTAGGAAAAAAATAGTATAAAAAATTTATTGTAAGATTTAAGAAAAAAATTGAATATTTTTGAAAAACAAAAAGATGATTATTAACCAAAAATTAACAAACTTCAAAAATATATAGATGATTTAAAAAATAAAATTTCTCAAAAAACATCAGAAAATTAACAAAAAGAATAAATTTTATAAAAAATAAAGATAGAATGAAAATAATGGATAATAAAATTGAAAATTTACAAATTTAAAATGAAAATATAATTTAAAAAATTAATAAAATATCAAGAAAAAATCAAATTTTTTACCTTTTGAAGATTTCGAAGGTAATATGTAAAAAATAGAAAGTTTATTTGATGAAAAAAATGAATAAATAAATCTTTTATAATAAGAAATTAAAGAATATTTAATTGAAAATAATAATCTATAAATAAAAATATAAAAAGAATAAAAAATAATAGAAAATTTGTAGAACGAAATGCTAGTTTAAGAATAGGAAAGTGAAAAAAAATTAAAGAGCTAATTTAAACAATAACATAAGGTAAAATAAAAAATTAAAAAAAATATAAATAGCTTTTATATAAAATAAAATAAAAAAATTATAAATAAAAAAGTATAATAAAATTTAAATATATTTTATAATTTTTAAATATACATATTAATAATAAAATAAAAAAATAAATTTAAATAAATATATATATATTTACATATATCTTATTATATATTTAATTATATATATTTTATTTATATATATATATATTAATTTATATTTTTTTATTTATTTATTAATATATTTTTGTTAGAATAATAATTAAATATTGACTTTTAAAAAAAGACATATAATGAAAACTATTCTGATTTTTAAAATTAAACTAAATTTAAAGAATCTTAGAATTTTTAATTTATATTTTAGAAATATTTATAAGAATAAAATAAATAAATTAATTTAATTGGAAAGCCATTATAAAATAATAATATTGATTAAAAAAATCACTTATTATCATAAAAATAGATCTTTGAATAATAAAATTTAATAAAAAAATAATCTAATGAAATTTAACATTAATTTAATATTATATAAGAATAAGAAAATTAGATAAAAATTTTAAAGTAAAATTATAAAAAATAAAATAATTAGAAGATCTAAATTAATAAACATCAGAAAAACAAAATATTTAATAATAAAAATAAATAAATATAATTGATAATAATAATTAATTTTTTTAAGATCAAATAAATTTATAATAAAAATAAATTAAAAATTAAGAAATTAATTATAAAGATATTTAATAATAACTAAAAGAAGCTTAAAAAATATCATAAAATAAAGATAAAGATATATAATAAATATAAGAATAACTTAAAGTATCTTAAAATAATTTAATATAAACATAAAAAGCCAACCAAAATTTATAAAATGACCTTTTTAATCTCTAAAAAGAACTTGATTATAAATAAAATATAATCGAAACTTATCAAAATAAAAAAGAAGAATCTTAAATCATAAATCCATATATATATGAACAGTAAAAATAGTCAAAAGCATAAGAAAATGAACTTTAAAACCTCTAAAAAGATTCTGAAAAGCTTTTAAATTTAAAAGAAAAACAATTAGAAAATCTTTAATAAGAAATAAAAAATACATAAAAAATAAAAGAAAATATCTAAATAGAATTTTAAAATAAAGAAAAAGACTTATAAATCAAAGAAAAAGACATATAGAATAAAGAAAAAGACATATAAAATAAAGAAAAAGACTTATAAAATAAAGAAAAAGACATATAAAATAAAGAAAAAGACTTATAAAATAAAGAAATAGACATATAAAGCAAAGAAAAAGACATATAAAATAAAGAAATAGACATATAAAGCAAAGAAAAAGACATATAAAATAAAGAAAAATACTTATAAAATAAAGAATATAACATATAAAATAGAGAAAATGAGCTAGAAAACTTTTAAAAACAATTATAAAATACTTAAAAAGAACTATAAAGTTATGATAAAGAAATAAAAGATCTTTAAAATAAATCATAATAAAAATCTATAAAAGATCCATATAATTCCTCTTTTTAAAACCAATTAAAAGAATATGAGGACGACTTAAAATTAGCTTAAATTTAAATATAAGATTATTAAAATTAATTATAAATATAAAAAACTTAAATATAATAATAAAAACAATAAATAAATGAATAAAATTTCTTATAATAAGAATAAGAAAAACAGTTCCAAAATCAAATAAAAGACCTTTAATATTAATTAAAAAAACTAAAGGAAAGTCCCAAAAAAATGCAAAAAAATGTATCTTTTCATATTTAAGAAATGAACACTTAATAAATAGAAGAATATGAGTAAAAATTAATAAAAGAAAAAATCGAATTATAATTAAATATAGATGAAATAAAAAGTGATTTTCATATAATGCCTCCTGAAGATCATATAAGTGTATAAAAAATGTAAATTTAACTTGAAGAAAAAAAAGAGTAAATATAAGATTTATAAAAGATAAAAACAAAGACTGAAAAAGATTCAGTTTTAAATAAAAAATTTCAAGAAAAATAACACTTTTTAAACTTTTTATAGACTTTTTAGTTGATTTTATTCGAGAAAAAATACAGATTTATAAAAACTAGATTAAGAAAGCTTAAATAATGAATCTTTTTAATTTAAAAGAAAGATGATTTATAAGAGTTTTTAGATTTAAAAAAGAAAAAATCTCGATTTAAATGATTTTAATGATATGAATGAAAATTCTTCATTTGCAAGTTAATCTTTAGTAGATTAATTAAAAAGCGACTAATAAAAAACGAAAATCTAGAATAATAACTTAAAATTAGAAATGAAAATATTAACTAATTGGAATAAAAATTATACTTTTAATTAAAGAAAATGATTAAATCTCAAACAATTAAAATTAGAATTAATATTAACTTTAACATTTAAAAGATATATTTATATAATTTTTAACAGCTTTGATATCAAATAATAAGTATATTATATATAAAATATTATTAATTATATATATATATATAAATATGTATATTTATATAATATTATTTCATTAGATTTTATAATATAAATGAATGTGAAAATTATTTAAATATAATTATATCTATATTAGAAATTAACGAAAAAGAAAAAGAAGATATTTTATCAAAATCTAATAATAAATCAAAAATAAAACATTAGCTTAACTAATATTTCATAAAAAATGACAAATAAATATATAAATAATTATATATTTTATTTTTATATAAGAAAAATAATAATAAATATATAAATAATATAAAATAAAAATATATATATATATAAATATTCACATATATTTTATTTTTATAAAATATCTTTATCTAATTTTATTTTTATTCAATATATCTTTTAATTTTTGTATAATTACTAATTTACCACATTTTTTAAAAAAAAAATCTTTATGAAGATATTATCTTAATATCTCCATAACGAATTTTTACCATTTACTATATTATTTATAATGAATATCTCTTTTTAAAAATAATACATTTTTAATAATTCATTTTTAAAAAATATATTTATAAAAACAAAACAGAAAAATAATCTTATATAAATCTACTTCCTAATAAACCATTAATATATAAATTATTGGCATTAAAAATTAAAATTTATTTATATAACATGAAAATCTCTAAGGCTCCAGTGTACAAAAATAACTATGAAATTAAATTTATTTCATTAATAATATATAGAAATAACATATATAAAACTGAAATATATATAATAATAAACTATAATTATATTAAAAATAAAATTTTTGATAATAACTAACTCTCATTATAGTTTGTAAAAATAAAGAGACAAAAAGTAAAATTTATAAATGTTTTAAGAATTAAAACACAAAAAAAATATAAATATGTATATAAATTAAAATGTTGATATAGAAATATAAAATATATACAAATATTTAATTATTAATTTAATATATATATATATATAATATTTTTTAAATTTATATATATTTAATTTTATATATATATATAAAAATTATATATATATCTTATTAAAAATTTTTATTTATTTATACAAATATTTTGATTTTATTTCTATATATATTTTATTTAAAAGTATTATATTTTTTTTATTTTCTTTTTATAAATTAATATATTATTTTTTTTTTATTTTTTATAATAAATAATCATTATTTAACTGCCCAAACTATATATTCTTTGATTATAATATTTCCATTATCTTTTTTATTTATATTTTTTATTAATTCTCCTATATTTTTTGCATCTTTTCCTTAATCTACTAACAATTATTATTCCAAAAGAACATTTTCTTCATAGAATTTTTTCATTTTTCCCTCCACCATTTTTTCAACAACTTATTAGTTTTTCCCTTTTAAAGCATCCCCAAATTCATTTTTAACTCTCTTGACTTCTTTATTAAATACATCTTTAGGGATATCTCCAATACTTATATAATCAGGTCTCATTCCCAATATTTAAAGTGCAATATTATCAGCAAATTATGCGTTTTCATTACTATTTTTTAAACCTTATATAGAAACAAGGCATCCTCTACCTCCTATACCTTATTTAAGGCTATTATGTACATATAATCCAATAATACCTATTTATATATATATATATATATATATATATATATATATATATATTTATATATATATTTTTAAATATATAGCTTTACCATCCGTTTATTATAAAGTCCCTAATTTTCTAATATTAATATTTTCTTATAATTTGGAAATAATTAATTATCTTATTTTATCCATATTTTCTTATTTATTTTCCGTAAGGTTTCCTTATATATAATTTTCTTAATAAAATTTGTTCATTTATTCTTTTTAATTTTCAGAAGATTCATCAATAAACTTTATGCTTTTTTCTTTTTTTAAAACACTATTTAATACTGAATTTACGAAATCTTAAAAAAGTTCATTTCTAGCAACAAAATCAGTTTCACAATTAAACTAAAAATAAGCTATATAGATATATATATATAGTTTTTTACTTCACCAATAACACCAAATTATTTGTTTTCGGAAACTTATATACCTATGACACCTTCTCGTGTTTCTTTACTAAGTTTTTTTTAAGCTGAAGCCAAACCTTTTTCAATTAAGTAATTTTTTGCCTTTTCGAAGTCTCCATTATATTCTTCTAGAGCTTTTTTTACATTTATTATTGGAGATCCGGTTTCGTCTCGTAGTCTTTTTAATATTTCGGTCGAAGTAAAATTATATTTTGGTAGTTTGTTAAAGTTTTATATATGAGAATTTATTTTAAAAAGTTTTTGGAATTATTTTATCATCTTATTAAAATATCTTTTTTATTGTTTTTTTTTAAATATATATATTTTTATATTTTATATAATAATATATTAATTTTTAACAAAAATATATATTTTAATATTTTTTTTTTTTTTGATTTCTTATATAAAAAACTTGTAAATAATAATAAAAAAATTGTATAAACTACTATTTCTTTTTAAATTTAAATACTAATGTACTTAATTTTATAATAGAAATTAAAATATATATGTATATATAGTAGAAAACACGAGAATTAAAGTTTTTATTTATATATAAATTCAAAAGAATATTTAAAAAAAAAAACTTTTTAATTTTTATTTGTGTAATCCAAATGATTTTTTTCTTATAAAGAAAATACTAAATTCATTAAATAATATAAGATTATAATTTGTTTTTTAAAAATTAGTTATTTTTAGACTGTTAGATTACATAAATATATATATAAACTATATATAACGAATAAAAACAAATATTTATTAAATTTATATAATAGTAGAAAAAAATCTGTAATTTCGAAAAGATGTTTATATATATTACAAAAGAAACAATTTTACAACAATAAAATTCTATTAAAAATTTAATAAATGCGATAACTATTTTGATTATAATATATGATAAAAATATATAAATAATTTTAAAACTTTTTTAAAAAAGAAAAAATAGAAAATTATAAATAAAATAATATATATATATATATATATATATATATATATATAAATAATATATATATATATATAAATATATATATATATATATATATATATTAATAGTTAATATATATCAATAATTCATATACTATTTTTACTAATATATTAAATTTTATTTTATATTAAACTTGATGTTTTCCTTTATTCAAATGTGAAAAAATAAAAAGAAGTGCACTTTTATTTATTTTATTATACTAATAAAATAATCAAATTTTTTATACAAAAAAAAATAAAAATTAACTATTAGTATATACTTTTATTATTTAGTAACATAAATATTAATATCCTATTATTTTTTTATTTATGCTAAAATATAAGCTTATATTATTTTTCTTTAATAATTTATCAATAAATAGGAATTTTTTATATTATAAAATATGTATAACACATTTTTCTTTTTTCATTAAGCTCTTTTTTTATTGATTTTTACAAAATCAAGTAATCTAAATATTATCCTTAAATTATATATAATATATAAATTAATATGAAAATAAAAACAGGTATATTTTTGTTAAAAAAGAGTATATAATTTGTTTTGATAAACAAAAAGTCAATTATATTAATCAGAATATTTTCTAAATTAATTATTTCTTTAATAAAATTTATTTTTTAAGATCAAGAAAAATGTCAATATTTATCATTTTTTTTTTAAATATTTAAAAATTAAAAATGCCATTTATAATAAAAATAATTTTATATTTAATTAATAATGACATGGAAATTTACACTGTTAACCAAAATTAAGACTATTTTTATCGACTAATTAAATTATATAATTATAATAATATATTTAGTATTATTTTCTGCTTTTTTAAAACTAGTTTTGTGTAAAAAATTAAATAAATTAAAAGATTTTTTAGTTCTATTTTTAAATGAATAAGGTATAATTATATATATATATATATAAGTTTTTAGGGAAAATAATAAACTCTTAAATTGAATGTATTTATATATAATAAAAAAATTGATGTATGGGTTAAGTCTTTTTTATTAAAATAATATTTTATTAAGAATAATAATATTAAATTAATAAAATATTTTAAATTCCAAAATAAAATTAAACATTCAATATTTATAATAATAATCTATTTTTAATTATATTATAGATTTATTTTAATTATTTCTAAAAGTTTAAAATTATTTAAACTATAATTATTTAACGAATTTGTATATTTATTTTAATTATTAAGTATTATTGAAAATAAATAGCTTAGAAAATAAATAAATATATGACAATTTAAATTTATTAAATTATTGGTTTATATCAGAAAAGATTTTATTTACTAATATAATATAATAAAGTAAATAAATTAACTTAAAATTATCAAAATAAAAATGAATTTGTTTATTATAATAAAAAAGCTTTAATTAAAACATAATTTATAATAAATATAAAAAATTAAATATAAAAAATGAAAAGCAATAAAAAAAATAAAATTAAATATTATAATATATATATAATTATATATATATATATATATATATATTTATATATAATTATTTATTTTTAAATTTTATATAATAATAATTTATTTCTGATATATAATTTTTCTAATATATATTAATTAATTTATCTATTTCTTTATTAATTAAAATTTAAATATATATATATATATATATATATATACAAATATTTATTAAATTATAAGTTAATATAAATAAATATCTAAATAATTTATTTATATAAAATAACAAAAAAATAAAATATATTTTAAAAGCAATATACCCTATTTCTACAAAAATATAATATTATATCAAATTATATAATAATAATTTACCATATTAAACAAAATAAAAATAAAAAACACAATTAAATAATATAGATAAAAACTTTTAATTACCTTATCAAAAAACAAGGGAAAAAAATTAATAATTATATATATAATATATATTAATAAATCAATTAATAATGGGAAACTAGCCACCACCAAAACAAAACTACAATCCTCTATAAGAAAAGCAAAAAATAGAAATAGCCTGTATGAAAGTAAAATATCATCTCGAACTCCAAAGAGACCGTCGATTATCCTAAGCCAACAATAAAGAAAAGCAATTAATAATGTTAATAAATTAATCAAACCGTTCTTAATAAGAAGAAAAGCATAAAGCTGCTTCAATAGTATCGGACATATAATTTATAGATGCATGCAATATATTAATAAAATAAAATAACAAAACTTCCATATATTTATATATACATATATTAATCTATATTAATATATATACATATATAGATGTTCTGAAATTCTTAAAGATCGTAGTTTACATATATTTTAATCTAAAGGTAATCCTGATGCTATAAAAGAAATAATGCCTTATATAGAATCAATAGTATGGGGTTCATCTCGTGTAAATCTTTAATGCTTATAGGAATTTAATAATATGATGATTTTTTTTTCGGTTCTTAATAAAGTGCTACTTAATTAATGAATGAAAGTCTAGTTGATCCTGAGTTAAAAAGTTGCTTTGCAAACGTAATGCCTTCAGATAAAGAGATAAATGATTATTTATTTAAATTGTCTTTAAAAATGGGTATTACGGTTTGCTAAATGAATGAACCAGGACATAATGCCTAAGATCCTTCTATATAAAAACAATAGTAATAGCAATAGTAATAACAATAGTAATAACAATAGCAATAATAATAAAATAATTACTATAACCCTTATTAATAATAAGGAGGAGCTAATCTTAATATAAATATTTAATTTTAAGACTTAAATTAACAATAATAATATATATAATAATAGTAATATTAACCGTAATAAGTTTCTAATATACCAAATGTTATGATACCTTAATTAGAATAATTCAAATAATAAAATCTATTAAAATTATAGTAAAATTAATAAAATTTCCCTAATAATAGCTATTAATAACTATAACCTCCTCAATAATAGAACTTTCCTTGTTAATAACCATCTTTATAATAAAATTTCCTATAATAAGCAAATACTCAAAATATGCCATAAACAGAAGCACCTATTAATTAAGGAGTTGGTTTTCCTGGAAATAGCATGCCTTAAATGGGAGGTAATATGATGCCTTAAATGGGAGTTAATATGATGCCTTAAATGGGAGGTAATATGATGCCTTAAATGGGAGGTAACATGCCTTAAATGGGCGGTAATATGCCTTAAATGGGAGGTAACATGCCTTATATAGGCGGTAATATGCCTTAAATTGGTGGAAATCCACATTAAACTGGTGGGGTTATGCCTTAAACGCCTTAAACTGGAGGAAATTAACCTGGTGCATAAGGAATCGCAGGATTAGATGATTTAGAAGAAAGATTAAGAAATTAAGAGAAGGATTATAGATTTTAAATAGAAAAATAATATATATATAATAATAAAATAAATTAATTAAGTTTTTTTTTTTAAAAAAAATAAATAAATTTAAACAAAAAAAATAAATTTAAATAAAAAAATAAAATATGTAAATTGAACCAAAATACCTTTAATATTCCAAAATGAAAAGGAAAAACAAAAAATTTTAATTAAAAATATCAGCGAAAATACACTAAGAATACTATTTAATTTACAAGAAAATGCCTAGAAAGTAAATATAAATCCCCATATTTTTAGTTTATAAGAAGGGGAAAGTAAGGAAGTAGAAATCGAGTTAAAAACTGAAAAATTTCCTTTTTTTTATATAAATGTTAATGCAAATAATAACCTTTATTAACGAAATATAATCATTAAACTAGAAAAAAAAACTAAAAAGAATCCTTTTATTAAAATATACTTAATTAAATCACTTAAATAGAAAATTAAGAAGAAGCTAAACTTCTTTTAGAAAAATATAAAATTTTAAATGAAGATTTTAACACTTATATGGCCTAAATTATTAAATAAAAAGATTAAATCATCAATCAATAGGAAGAAGACATTTTCTAAATGAAATAAAAGTTCTTTTTGAAGGAAAAAAAAAGAAAAAAGTCACTTTAATAGAAGAAGATGTGAAAAAATAAGAAAAATTAAACGAAAATTCAAATCAAAATCATATAATAAGTCAATTAGAGGAAAATATAAAAGAAAAATGCCTAAAAATATAAGAATTAGAGTAGAATATAATACATTATAAAGAAATAAGTCAAAAAAATGACGAAAAAATACAGGTTTAAGAATAAAAAATATAAAAAAAAAGGGAAAAATATAAAAAAACAAAAGAAAAAAACGAAGAAATTTACAAATAAAATTTCGAGTTAAAAAATGAGAATTTATAACTTTTGAATTAAATTTAATAAAAAAGTGAACAAATTAAAAATTTAGAAAAAACTTATTAAATTCAAAAAGATTCAAAAACAGATTTTTAATAAAGAATTTTACTTATAGAAAAAATTAAATTAGCCTTCGAAGATAATATTTACTCTTTAAAAAAAGATTTCTAATAATAAAAATAATAATTAGAATAAAAAAATAGTCTATAACATTAATAAATATAATAATTATAAGAAAAAAATACATTATAAGAAGACATAATTCAAAAAAATGAAAAAAATATAACAATAATGTAAGACGAATAAATTTCATTATAAAAAAATATAAAAGAATTAAAGGAAAAAATAAGAATATATATAATAAATTAAATTATAGACATTTAATATATAAGAATAAGGTAAAATAAAAATAAAAATATATAAATATAAATAAATATATATATATTTAATTACATATATATATATATTAAAATATTTATTTTATTTAAATACAATATATATAATAAATTATTTATTTTTTATTTAAAAATATTACATAAATTGCTTTATTTAATTAACATTATTATTTTGAATTATTTGATTTAACATTTTTTTCATTATATTCTTTATTTTATTATTAGTTTATATTTAAAAATATATATATAATAATATAAAATATAAAATAATTATATATATTATATTATTTTAATATATTTATTAAAATAAAATATATAAAACACATTAATTATTTTATAATAAAATATTTTTATGAAATATTTTTTTTTAAAAAATTATATAAGATAAATAACTTTCTGTATTTTCAATTTTTTAATATATTAAAATATATGTATGATAATAAATAAATCATAAATTATATTGTATAAAAATAAAAATATATAAATTCATAATAGAATAAAAGTATATAAATATATATATAATTATATAAATAAATTTAAAT